CGCATCAATCGTCAGCGCTTTAAAAGGCTCCAAGGAGGTGCCGGACCCGGAGGGGCAGCTGTGGGTGTCGGCAGACCGCCGCTCCAGCGTCCTGCGTCTCGCCCGGCCCCGGCTCGGGGACGCGGCGCTGTATTACTGCGCCGTGGACCCACGGAAGCGAAGCCGGGGCTGCGGCCGGGCACGAACCGCTTGGGGCGGGGCGGGGGCACAGTGCCGTCCGGGCCCGCAGGGGGCGCTGCCTGCATGACCGCCAAACTCCATCCTGACCGGGGTGCGCCGCCCTGAGCTCTCGAGGAAAATGAGAGCCGCACCCATAGCAGCCACTGCCGCAATTTTGGGTACACAGAGTTGCATTTGAGGTGGGCTGGACGGCAAAACTGTTAAAATAAGCTTTGTTGGACTACAGCAAGACATCCCCACAGTTCTATTCCATCTTCTACTCTCTTGTGCTTCTCCAGTGCAGCATATATGAGAGCAGTAGGAGCCCTATTCAGCTGCAGAGGCAAAGCTGAAGAGAGGAGCTTCTACGGTATGTCACAACCTCTCATTTTTCAGAGAGAGGAGAAGGATCTCCATAAACCTTCACTCTATACCTGTCATGAGCAAAGCTATTCTATGTGGGCAGCTCTGACGGCCACACATGGCGGAAAACAATATGAAGAACATAAAGTAAAATGCAGAAATATTTAATGAATGTTTAAATAGGAAAGTGAGATTACGTCGAGCAGAGACTCCACAGTGCAGTATTTACATGATCCCATGTTTGAGTTCATGCAGGGCATGTGCCTCATTTTCTAACAGGGTATGGACTGGTACAGGGAAACCTTGTATATTGGAGGATCATAGGAAAAAGATATCGTAGGAAAAATGGAGAGAGAAATAGGTAGGTCGATTGAGAAATGAAAGCTGAGACACGAGCCAGGTTGTCACAAAGCACGGCATTGTCTCTTCCTATCAGTATTTGCTAGAGTAGCTGAGGATGGGTCAGGGATTCTGAATGCAGGGGCTTGAAGATTCCTTCTTGATCCAGCACCGTGTCCGTGGCTTATAGACGGACCCAGAGAGACTCTCTTTGAGTGCACAAATCTACAGCCATGTCAGCAGTGTCACAAGCACTCCCTGATCATACTTTATGCCCTCTATGGTCTCCCATGGCATGGAGATCCACTGTCTGATAGTATTTCTATTGAGGCAAGAGGAGAAGAGAGGGTTTCACACTTACCTGGTTCCCAGCAAGAGGCAGGCAAGAGAAGTGGATGGGAGAGCTGGGAACTGGGCTGCCTTTTATATTGGTCCTTCATTGCTGCAGGTCCAGAGGCACAGTTGACAGAGGCACTAATTTTCTGACTAGGTAATCTTCAATGCAAGCTGTCCCTTCTCATTATGTGGGCTGGTTTTTGATTTCCTGCAGTGCTACCTGTTCATTTCCAGATTTATGACGTGCCCATTCTCTAATGAAGGATTCTTTAAGTGCTGTGATTTAAGGCTCAAAGATTCATAGTTGCAGAATTGCGTTGGTGAGGCTGATGCCTCAGCTCAAGTGATGATCAGGTGTGGAGGAGGCAAGTGAAGTCATCCTGGTTCAGTGCAGTGGGGCTGTTGTGATTTCATGATTTCTGTTATCGGCGTTGCACATCATAACATCATGTAGTGCACTGAGGGTTAAAGAGCTAATTGTGTAGTTCCAAGGATTGTTGATAGTTCCGTTACCTGTCTCATAAGAACTGGAGCCAATGTGAGTCAGACAGTTTATATTTGAGGTTGTTAGGATATTACAGCTGTCAACATAAGCTGTGTTGGACACCACAGAGACCTTCATCCATTTCACAGAATCACAGAATGGCCAGGGTTGGGAAGGAACCTCAAGGATCATGAATCTCCAACCCTCCTGCCACATGCAGCACCACCAACCTGCACATTCAATAACAGAACAGGTTGCCCAGGGCCCCATCCAGTCTGGCCTTGAAAACGTCCAGGGACGGGGCATCCACAGCCTCTCTGGGCAGCTGTTCCAGCACCTCACCACTCTCATAGTAAAGAAATTCCCCCTGACATCCAAACATAAATCTTTCCCTTTTCCCACAAGTTTCCCTTGTCCTGCTGTTATCTACCCTCTCAAAGAGTTGACTCCCCTTCTGTTTATAGGTTCCCCATAAGAACTGAAAGCCTGCAATGAGGTCACCCTGCAGCCTTCTTTTTTCCAGGCTGAACAAGTCCAGCTCCCTCAGCCTGTCTTTGTAGTAGAGGTGCTCCAGTATCCTGATCGTCTTTGTGGCTCCTCTGGACCCTCTCCAACAGCTCTCTGTCTTCTTGTATTGGGGGCCCCACACCTGGACACAGTGCTGCAGATGGGGCTGCAGAAGAGCGGAGTAGAGGGGGGCAATCACCTCCCTGTCCCTGCTGGCCACCCCTCTTCTGCTGGAGCTCCGGATACCATTTGCTTTCCAAGCTGCAAGAGCACGCTGTTGGCTCATGTGAAGTTTTCATTCATCAGGACCCCTAGGTCCTTCTCTGCAGGGCTGCCCTCAAGGACCTCTCCTTCCAGTCTGTATGGATGCCTGGGATTCCTCTGGCCCAAGTGCAAAACCTTGCACTTCATTGCGTTGAACCTCATTATGTTCACTCAGGCCCATCTTTCTGGATGGCATCCGTTCCTTCCACTGTGCCAACTGCACCACTCAGCTTGGTGTAATCAGCAAACTTGCTGAGGGTGTACTGGATTCCATTGTCAATGTCATTGACAAAGATATTGAAGAGCATTGGTCCCAAGACAGAGCCCTGGGGAACGCAGCTCTTTACTGGCCTCCTGGACTTAGAACCATTGATCACCACCCTCAGTCTGCTGCTTTTCAAGCAGTTTCTTATCCATCAAGTGGTCCACCCATCAAATCCATATCTCTCCAATTTGGAGATAAGGAGGTGGTGAGGGACCATGTCAAAGGCCTTGCTCAAGTCCTGCTAAATGACATCGATTGCCTTTCCTTTGTCCACCAATGCCGTCCCCCCATCATAGAAGGCCAACAGGTTGGTCAAGCATGACCTTCCCCTGATGAAGCTGTGCTGGCTGTCTCAGATTACACACTCATTCCTCATGTGATCAAGCATGTCATCCAGGAGGATCTGTTCCATGGTCTTCCCAGGCACAGAGGTGAGACTCACTGGCCTGTAGTTCCCCGGGTTCTCCTTGCTCCCTTTCTTGTAAATAGGAGTGACGTGACCCTTCCTCCAGTCATCTTGGACCTCACCTGACAGCCACCACTTTTCAAATATGATGGAAAGTGGCTCAGCAACCACCTCAGCCAGCTCCTTCAGAACCCTGGGATGCAGCCATCTGGCCCTATAGACTTGTACACATTCAGTTGCATGAGGCAGTCTCGGACTTGCTCTGCCCTTACAGTGAGGGGGGATTTACTGCCCCAGTCCCCAGCTAGAGGTTTAGGGCTGCATGGCTCAGGAATGTGAGAAACATTAGAATCCTGGCTTCCGTTGAAGACCGAGGCAAAGAACTCATTCAGTACTTCAACCTTCTCTTCGATCGTCGAAGCTAATTCTCCTTTTACATTTACCAAAGGAGGTACATTAATTTTGGCCTGTCTCTTCTGGCTAATGTATCTGTAGAATGTCTTCATATTGTTCTTCACATCCATTGCCAAGTTCAATTCTGCCTGCACCTTGCTTTCCTGATCCCTCTTCTGCAAGCCTGGATGGCATCCCTATATTCTTCCCAGGTGACACACCCTTGTTTCCAGAACTTGTACGCACCTTTCTTTGCCCTCAGCGAGCCCAGCAGGTCCTTGCCAAGCCATGCTGGTTTCCTACCTCTTCTGCCTGCTTTCTTATTCAGAGAAATGGAGAGCTCTTGTGCTCTCAGAAAGGCATCCTTGAAGAGTAGCCAGCTCTCCTCAGCATCTTTGTCTTTAAGGACAGCATCCCAGGTCTTGGCCAACAATCCCTTGAACAGCTTGAACTTTGCTCTTTCAAAGTTCAGGGTTCTGACCCCACTCTTTGCTAGGCCCACATTCCTTGAGATCACAAATTTGACTAGGGCATGGTCACTGCAACCCAACCTTAACACCTTTAATGATCTCTTCCACATTGGTGAGCAGCAGTTCTACTTCGTCTCCCAGCCTCTCCTGCTTCCCCTGTGCCGCACTAATGACAGCAGTGGAGCTCTGTTCCTAAGGACCAGCAGAGTGTCTTGCACCCATGTCATCCCTCACAGTCGTTGCTTTTCCTGTAAGCAAAGCAGAGTTGTGTTATCCTTTTTCAGGAACTTAGAGGGTCGTTGTGGGCAGAAGCACCACAAGACAAAGGCCGATAGCCACTTGTTCTGCCATAGACAGGGGTATCTTCTTCAGCTGCAGGGGACAGTGACCAAGAAAGCAGCCTCTGCAGTGTATCACATCATGCCATTCTTCTGGGAATGGACAAGGATCTCCTTAACCTCTCATCTTATACCTCCCAGGAGCAGAGCCATTCTCCCTGGGTAGTTCTGGAGGCCATACACAGTGGAAATAAACATCAAACGCTCAAAGGAGATGCAGAAATCTTTAATGAATGTTTACAGAGGAAAATGAAATCACCCTCAGAAGAGGCTTCACAGTGCAGGATTTGCCTGATCCCATGTTTAAGTTCAAAGACTGAGTTCATGCAAGACTTATGCCTTATTTTCCAGCACTGGATGAGATCGTTCTGGGGAACCTCACATATCAGAGGGGCACAGGGGAAAAAAAAAAAAAAAAGAGAAAAGAAAAAGTAAAGTAGAGAGAGAGAAAGAAAGAAAAAAGGGAGAAAGACGTAGGTAGGTGGGGAGAGGAATGGAAGCAGAGGATCAGGCATCAGCCAGCTTTACTGGAAGCCCAGGCATGCCTCTTCCTGCCAGTACTTCCTAGAGTAGCTGAGGATGGGTCAGGGATTCTGAATGCAGGGGCTTGAAGATTCCTTCTTGATCCAGCACCGTGTCCGTGGCTTATAGGCGGATTTCTCCTAGACCAGCGGCTTCAGCAGGGCGGGCACCTTCTGCCACAGGAGCGGCTGCCCAAGCCGGACAAGTCAAAGCCCCCCGAGGTGATGGGCACGCCCTCAGAGCTGAGGATGCGGCCAACAGCAGCGGAGGTGGAGGAGCCCACAACGGTGTTCTGTGGGAAGGAGCTGAGGATGGGTCCAGACAGGGTCACCACCACGGGAGAGGGCTCAATGACAACATTAGAGCTCTGGCACTGCCTGACACAGGGCTCATTGCAGCTGCTGGCCAGAGGGGTCGGGCCGCAGGGCCGGCATGGCACACACTGGGTGTAGCAGGACATGACTTGGGACTGGAGGTGCACCTCGGAGAGAGGGATAGAATGTAGAAGGAAATGAGAATATGTGAGGGGCAGCCTGGATAGCCTCTCACAAAGGAGCCAAGGAAACTGCTAAGGATGGAGAAGGTGGCTTGGGACAGCAGATCACATCCCTTCATTGTGCCATGGCTCTACAAAGAGCAGTGTGACCCAGGGAGACTCTCACAGGCTGTATAAATCTAAAGCCATGTGAGCTGTTCCAATCATTCTCTATGCGCACCTTATCCCGTCCATGGTCTCTGATAGCAAGAACCTCCACTAACTGATTGACTCTTGAGGCATAATCTGACTTTGCAAGAGGAGGAGGAGAGAGGGCTTCACACTTACCTGGTGCCCAGTGAGGAGACAAGAGAAGAGGATGGCAGAGCTGGGATCTGGGCTGCCTTTTATACTGGTCCTTCATTGCTGCAAGCCAAGAGGCATCACTGGAACAGGCAATAATTTTATGACAAGCACACAGTGAATGTGAGCCATCCCTGTTGAGTTTTGGTTTCCTGTGCTGCTTTTTCATTTCCAGATTTTGCCTGTGTCCATTCTCCAATGAAGGATACTTTGAAGTGCTGCAATGAAAGGCCCAAAGATTTGTAGGGCAGGATTGCACTGGTGAGGCAGATGACTCAGCTTTAGTGCTGGATGGGTCCAGAGCAGGCAAGTGACATCAACCTTGTTCTCTGCAGTGGAGCTCTTTGGAGTGTCATTCTCAGGATAAGCTCCTGAGAGCACCAGCTGGATACCCAAGGCTTCCTGTACATGAGGATGTGCCTCGTCCTTCTCTTTCTCTGCCTCCTCAGCTCACTCTGATGGCCATTTGATTTGGCTTTCCACCATGTGAGTTTTCTGCTAGGATTTAACCCTATACCATGTAGCACTGTCCTCTAGAAAACTGTTTTTGACAGTTTCATTTTGTGCATTCTCTGTGCAATCTTCCAGTTCACAAAAAATGTCGCAGATTCATAGAATAATTTGTGTATGAAGAGTCCTGAAAGATTGTCTAGTTCCAACAACTTCTACAAACAGGAATTCTTTCCATTGTATGTGGGTGGCTGGACTGGATGACCTCAGAGGTCTTTCCCAACCTTGGTGATATTCCATGATTCTATAACTAAGGATTTATTCCTCAGCTTCAAGAGATCCACCCTCCAGTGCCTAGGGGGCTGATGGAGTGCAAAATTGTTCTCCAAGGCCATCTCTGTGCAGGTTTATAGTCCACATAGGGATAAACTCAAGGATGCAGCAAAGTGGAAGCCTCTTTTTCTCCATCCCAACTCACTCCAATGGTCTCATGTGATCAAAAGTCCAGGTAGGTGGGCTGGACTGCTGGGTTTCAATTCTCTTTCTCATTCAGCTGCCATCTGGAGGAATTGTTGGACCTATGTACACAGAATTGGCCTGACCATGTGCACATGCCCAATAAGTCCCAAGGCCCATTTTTTTCCCTCTGTGTACTACTGGTGTCAGGAGCTGTTGCAGCCTGGGTACCTCATCGTCTGAAGAGATCTAGGGAAGGCTGGAGTGTCTGTGTTTAGCTGATCAGTGCCAGCAGTCCAGATCTACTATTTCTCTGAAGCCTCCCATCAGTTCCCAGCACCCATCCGCTTCCTTAAGACCTTCCTGTTTCCTGACCCAGGGGGAAAGAAGTTTTGTCATGTGTTTATGATTGTTTGGTTATTGTCATAACATCATGCAGTGCAGCACAGGGTCACTCTCAGTTTAAACAGAAGATAATGCTCCAGTTCCATAGATCGTGAATAGTTTCAGGTACCTGCTTCTTAGAAGAACTACGTACTACATACCCCAGAAGGCTTTGGTTTTTTATGTTTCTGTTTTCCATTCAGATGGAAAAGATAACAACCATCCACAAATCACTTGCCCCCTTTTCAGTCATCTCATCTCTGTTGCATGTGCCATCTCGTCACAGCATCAGAGTAAGGCCTTTGGCTTTTTATTTGATTTATTACCTACAATTCTAAGTATATTGTATTATATTGTACTGCAGTGTGATATCTTGTGTTCTGATATCTTATTTGGTAAACTAGGTTCTTTCTACACAGATTGTTCCCACTGCTTTGTTTTTCATCCCATCTCTCTGCCCTTTTCCCCCTTTTCCCTTTTCCTCTTTACCAGGGTGTGGGTCTGCGTGGACCCCTGCCTCACTAGTAACAGAACTGGGACGAACCAGCATGTAAACCATTGGCACTGTGCTTCTCAGGTTCTCAGCTGTACTTCAAGCAACAGCACAAGACAAGGAAGGCACAGCAGGTGCCATGGCAAAAAGGCCATAGAGAGAGGCAGTCAGGATGGTTGAGGCTGGAAGATGGTGACATCCTGGAACAGGAAAGAGGCCCTTGTTTTAGTCACGGACATGCAGCTTCAGAAGAGGCACAGCCCCCTGGGCACTGGGGACAACAAGCAATCCATTGCAGTGGCTCATCAGAAGTGGCTGAACTCAAACCCTATGACTACAGGAAGAAGAAAAGGTGTGTGAGAATTAAGGAGACATCTCCCTTGGATAGTGGATTCTCCAATTTGCTGAAGTCTTGTGTTTGTTTTCCTTGGCAGGGATTACCACCTGGGATGCTGCAGAGGGACTCCCAGGGCTTGTCTGCATATCAGGGTGTTACCACCCCATGCAGCTCTTCCATGTGAGCCTGCTTCCAGACAGCGGTGACTTTAACCACCCCATTCTGCCCCAGGGGCAGAATGGCTGGACACCAGGAATTCTGGAGATTTCTGAAATCAAAGTGAGACAACATTTATAATCCAGATAGCTGATGGAGTGATTAAGAGAAACTGTTTGTTGGAACTCTTCCTCACAAACAAGGAGAAACTCTTGAATATGGTATGAAGAAAGGACAGCCTTCACTACAGTGACCATGAGTCTGTGCGTCTTGAGATCCTGAGAGGACTGACCAAGGGCAGAATTGCAATCATGAGCTTCAAAAGAGACATCTCAGGCTCCTTAGGAAGACATGTGGCAGAAGATGGAAACTGCCCTGGAGGGGAAAATGCTGGAGAGCTGGCTAATCTTTGAAGGCAGCCTCTTCAAAGCACAAGACAAGCCCACTCCATATCCAAGCGTATTTAAGAGACACCAGCATGCAGTCACACGGAGCTCCTCTCTGAGCTGAAGAGAAAAAAAATGAAATAAAATTTAAAAAGAGAAAATACACAAAAAGTGGCAGGCTAACTGTGAGTAATCCTGAGACTGCTGCCCATGCAGAGATGCGGTAAGGAACACACAGCTCAGCCTGAGTTACTTAACAGGGAAGAAGAGTGAGAAAAGCATCTCTAAGTCCATTCTTGCAGCAAAAAGAAAGCTAAGGAGATTGTATGTGCTTGGTAACATGAGAAGAGGGAAATAGTGAGAAGAAAATGCCTAACGTAATTTACCCTTCTTTTTCCTCCATTTTCATAACAAGTCATCTAGACAGACCTACAAGGCCCCTGAATTTCATTCATAAAATCCATGGGAATTAATATATTTAACCCTGTAAAGGAACAAAACGTTATGGAGAACATAATCCAGTTGGACATACTTGTGCCCTTGAGATGAGATGCCAAGCCTCGAACAGTTTTTGTTGATAGATGTTGTGATGCTGCTCTCCTCCACTCTCAAGGGTCATGACGCTTGGGTGATGGCAGCCATCACTAGGAAAGAACAACATGCATCAAAAAAATCTTTAGAAGGACTGAGAAAGGGAATTCAGGGAAGTCTGGCCAATTGTACTTCATGCACTCCTTGATCAGGTGTGTGCCTTGGAGCAGATGTCTCTAGATGCCATTACATGACATCCGAAAGACAGCGAGGAGGTTTGGAGCAGCCAGGGGCGGAGCTGGCGGCGGGGGCGGCGGCGGCGGCGGCGGGGAGGAGGCGGCGCGGGCGGAGCAGAGCCGGGGCTGGCGGGGGCAGCGCGGCGCGGGCGGCGGAGCGGCGGGATGCGGCAGTGCCGGGCTGCGGGGCTGGCAGGGCTGGCCGCGGTGCTCCTGGGTGCGCGGGGCTGCCGCCGGCGGGGCCGGACTGCGGGGCTGCG